TGCTGCTGCCCCTTCCCTCCGCCGTCCCCTCAGCCCCGCCGCCATTAAACCGCCCTTCGACTCTCCGCGCCTCGACGCCTGCGGGGCCTTTTTTTATTTTCCCCCCCTCCCCCGGAGCTGGAGAGGGTCCCAGCTCTGCTCCCCTGCCGCCACGGCCTCCAGTCGCCGTCTCCCCTTTCCTCTGCCCGGGGTCACAAGGGGCCTTGTGAGGCGGCCCAGGCCCCGCCGGGAGCCTCGGTTGCTGTTGCTTGCCGGCACCCTGGAGTCAGCGTTCTGTGTGGTTTGGGCTTTACAGGCTTAATTTCTGCGTGTAGATAAAAAGCGGTGACTCTCCTTTTTTTTGGAGGCAGATTTAAAGCCTAGCCTCTGCATCTTGGAGCCGTCTGGAAAGGAATCTTTAAATGACCCCTGTATTCCAGACGCTAATACCCAGGCAGGCAACCTGCTGCGGGCTTGAAGTGACTCCATGGTTCAGTAAATGCTGTTAATCAACCTTTTTTTTCTTCTTCCAAGGAATCAATGCGGTGATGCAAACTTTACAGACAACGTAAGGAAGCAGCGCGTGAACCAGATGGACTCTGCTGTGCCTCAGCTCACCTGGAAGCACCGGCGAGATCCAGGATGGAGCCTGGCATAGGATGAGAAACCAAGAAACAGCATCCCTCCCTCTGTGCCGTCCATCCTCTCGGCCCCTCCGGGACTCGCTCAGGTTACTCACAACAAGTTTCCGCAAGGAGAAAGTTGCAGCTCTCACAGAACACGAAGTGCTAAAGGTTTTGCTTCAACTTCTGAGCAAAGAAAGTCAAAATACCCGTAATATTGCAGCAGTGGCCATGATCTTCCAGGCTTACAAAGCCAAATGTAGATTTGTTACAAGGATTTATCCGTAATACTGCTATGCACACACAAATGCATCTATGTGTATGTGTGCATAATGTCCTTATATTTGTACAGTAAAGGTAGAAGGGTTCAGAATTTTGTTTTTCTTTGAAGAAACGATCCAAACCCCAGAAGGTTAATAACTGCTGGCTGACGATATGTTTTTTAAATTGACCTTGTCAGCTGCGGCTCGTGACTTTCCAGCAGAGGGAAATGCAGCACAAGCGATGAGGGGTTGTGGCAATGGCAGGCAGCCCTGGCAAACGCAAACTATCTCTGTTCTCTTTTAACTTCACTTTCTTCCGCTGCCAAACTCTGATGCATGCTGAGTGATTAAAAATATCAAATACAGCGTTCCCCAGCAAGGAGTCAAGTCAGAGGAAAAAAAAGAAACCCAACCTAGTGCTGTAAAGCTGAGCAGACTGAGGCAAAGAATGGGAGGCAGAAGGCTTTTATATAGCCCTGTTGACAGTATCTTAAGAAAAAGGAGAGGATTGTCCTGATGTGGTTTGGGTTTTGGGTGTCCCCCCCTCGCCTGCCGTGTCCATACCCTCATGGCTTGGCTGGGAAGCGTCAGATTTCCACGCCCGTGAAGCAAGCTGCCACCACGCTGGGGACAGGGAGCACTGGTGCTGGAAGAGAGGAGATTGCTGGAAGAAGCAGCTGGCAAAGTGGTTGATGTCGTTGTGCAATAAACCGGGCAGTGCGCTGTCAAACTCCGAGTTAGGTGCCTGGGTCACAGCTTTACCAACATCCCTCTGCTCCACCTGGAGCTGCCGGCCCCTCTGCCCTGAGGTTGGCCCTTAGGTCCTGTCCTCGCCGGCTCTGAGCCCTTTGCAGCAAGGGGCTGGCCCCAAAGGAAGGGTTTTTGGCGAAGGTGGTCAGTGCACAACAGGAGCAAAGGGAAGCTGAGAGAAACTTCTTGTTTGCTGCAGCAGCAACCCTGGCCATGTCCTGCCATCCAGACAATCTGTGACACCTGAACACTCGGTCACTCCTTGCCTCCTCCAAACACAAGTTAGGAGCGAGCAGAGGGGTGAGTGGCAGGGGAGAAGGATGGGCTCTGGGCAGAGGCTGCCCCAGATATCAGCTCTGCTCCATGAGGGTGGCCACAGCTCAGCTGCAGAATGAGGCCGTCAGCCACTTGCGTACTCGCTACCCTTTTATTTAATCACGGGAAGCTGGATGGTTTTTATGGGTTTGTGCATTTTCTTGGCCCAGCCAAGCCCGGAGCTTGGTGGAGCCTCTTTTCCCTTCTCACTGCCATAATGCAGTTATAAAATAAACCCAAGAGGTTTCCCTGGCTTCTGTGGATTTGCTTCTGGGTCCGATGCCAACTCAGGGAGCCCGGTTCCTGGTGCAGGTGCCGAGTGCCTCCCCGGCTTGGTGGTACTGCTGCGAATCCCAGCCTGGCTTGGAAGAGCAGGGAATTCACCCAAACCCGCCTTGCGCCAAGGAGCAGGGACTGGTCCTGCGCGGGCTGACAGTGAGTACATGCAGATCTGCTCTTGTTGTCACTTACAGTTAATTTATTTTTAGATTAAAAAATGTTTTTATTTCTCATGCACACAGAATTGGCACTGCTTTTTTGGGTCGTAGCTGACTCCATTGTCTTCTCCAGTTATGCCTCCCCTGCAGTGCCGAAATGAAAAATTCCAGTTACATATTGTACAGGGGATGGGAGCTCGGAGGAACTGACTCATCTCGGTTATATTTGTCCTTTTCAAAGGGGAAGATCCTGATCGAGGGGTGGTGGGGGAGCCAGCATCGGTTATCTCCCATCCACCGCAGCAAACATGATGCTTTTATCAGGGGGTCTGCAGAGCGCACTGCCGAGTACCCTGCCAAGGCAGCCGGGTGTCTTCTCAGCGTGAAGCTCCTCAGGCTGCTCAGACAGTCGGGGCAGTGTGGAAGGGAGGGGTTTGTGTCATTTCTCAGAAAAAATAATTGTGGCTCCAGCGGGACAGAGGCTACAGCACGCTCCCCGGGACGCGAGCCAAGCCCCCGTGCGCCGGCGCCGCAGGTAGCGAGCCCCAGCCCTGGGGACATTTCCCACCCATGAGGGAGGGTGGAGAGGGAGGGTAACCCCCAAGCTGGAGCTGAAGCGAGGTCTGCGGCACGCTCAGCTCGCCCTGCGTGGGTAGTGCTTAAACACAACAGCCGGGACACTGGGATGGCCGGTCTCTTGCCCTGAGCCGGGGCATCCGTCAGTGTCTCATCCCTAAATGCCCACCCTCGCTGCCTCTGCCCCACGGCGCAGCCTCCATCTTTCACCCTCACAGGGCAGCTCCGGGGCTGGCCCACTGCAGCACCCGGCTTGTGGGCAACAGCAGCTTGAGCTGGGTGGGCGGTGCCATGGCCGGACCTGCGACACCAAAGCATGGGTGTGCAATGCCATGGCTTGAGTGTGCAATGCCGTGGCTTGAACTTGCAGTACTGTGGTTTGGACGTGCAGCGTGGTGGTTTGGACGTACAATGCTGTGGCTTGAGTGTTCAATGCCATGGTTTGGACGTGCAATGCCGTGGTTTGGATATGTAGTGTCGTGGTTTGGACATGCAGTGCCGTGGCTTGAGTGTTCAATGGCATGGCTTGAATGTGCAATGCGGTGGTTTGGACGTGCCATGCAGTGGCTTGAGTGTGCAATGCCATGGTTTGAACGTGCAGTGCTGTGGTTTGAACGTGCAACGTGGTGGTTTGGACGCCCAGTGCCATGGTTTGGATATGTAGCACTGTGGTTTGGACGTGCAATGCCGTGGCTTGAGTATGCAATGCCATGGTTTGGACATGCAATGCCGTGGTTTGAGTGTGCAATGCCGTGGTTTGGACATGCAATGCCGTGGTTTGGATGTGCAATGCCGTGGCTTGAGTGTACAATGCCATGGTTTGGACATGCAATGCGGTGGTTTGGACATGCGGTGCCGTGGTTTGGACATGCGATGCCATGTCTTGAGTGTGCAATGGCACAATCCAGACCTGCAACGCCACAACTTAGCCCTGCCCTGCGGGGGGTCAGACCTGCAGCACCGCGGGTCCTCGCGCTGGGTGCCGGTGCTGCTGGAGAGGGCGGGAAGGCCTGATGCTCTGCTTTGGCCAAGCGCAGCTCTTCTCCCCTCGGTCCCGCGGGGGAGCTCGCCTCTCCCCAGCCGCCGCGTGTCACGTCGGTGCCGTCACGTGCAACCTGCCACATGGGCTTCTTGCGTGTCAGAAGGGAGCCGTGAGCGTGCTGGGGGATGTGATAAGGCCCCGGCATGCGGTGGCGTGAGTACAGCTCTCCTGCGCGGTCCCAGCAGCTGCAGGAGCCGCTTCCACTTCCTGCCCGTCCCTGCCTGTGCAGCGCAGCTCCATGCTGTTCAACAGCTGCCGCGCTCCATCCTGTTTCGTGATGAAAGGTGCTTTAGCAGCGGAAGAACATTATGATGATCAGGAGAAATAATGTGCAGGCAGGGCTGGAGACAAGGCAAGCCTGCACTCACCCCGGGCCCAGCCCTTGGGATGGGTGGTGGCGGCAGGGGGATGGATGTCCTCAGCCAGGCAGCGGGGACCCGTCCCCACCTATGATTTTGGGGGAAACCGCAAGGGTGAGCACGGGTAGCACATACAGGCTTGGTTTGCCATGCTCCCACTGGGCCGGCTCACTGCAGTGCCATCCCAGTGGCGTGCCAACATCTGGGAATCCCAGACCCGTGGCCAAATCTCCTTTGTCACTGGGATGAAAACTGGGGGCAAGAAAAGAGGCAGTGCCCGGGATGCCACTGTGGCCAGGAGCCCCCGGGCTGGGACTGGTAGGGTGCTGGGATCGACCATGCTGGGAAGCCCTTTGCAAGCAGAAGCGTTGGTTTGGGTAA